TGAGTCTTCTAACTTCATTCTCTTGGACCTTACTTCTGGGGTCAATCGTAGCTCAAATATCTTTCTCTCTTTTGCGGCTTTTTGGATATAGGCCCTAGCTACATTGTTAGTGGCTATTTGTGGGTTTGTGGCGGCATGGATTACGTCTATCACTCTTGCTGGTATTTTTTGGTCCCCTTTCAGCTCGGTTCTTTCTCTGTCAGCTCTTGCTCCATCTTCAACGAACTCGAAGAGATGTCCAGCTTGAACCAATTCTTCCAAATGTTGCTTCAGATCGGGAGTTTTCAGTCATATACCCCATATCCTGGTGATATGGGCATCTAAAATTTGGATTTCTTTTCAAGGGATCTCCTGTTAACTTGTTGGGCCAGTTAAAAAATAGCCTCGCCTTAATCTGATTCAATATCTTGTATATCGACTCTTTGAACAACGTATTCACCCCTAGAAAAGGGGATTTTTGGGGATAACCATCCTTATCATTCTTCCTTCCTCCATCTCTGATCAACTCGGTCAGCTTCTCACAACCGAACTGTCTCTTGTCTTGGTGATCTTTCACCACATCTTTGGATAAGTCGTTGTCAACTTTGGCATACTTCTCGATCCTTGCCATCAATTCTTCCCAATCTGTAGCTGGCCTCCTGGTGAGTGATTGGTACAAAGGGTTCTCCTTTAGAAACCCATTTTTGAAGGATGCAACTGTAATTTCATGATTGCATCCTTTGACTTCGTTCATCGTTTCTCAATATCGATGAGCATACTCTCGCAGAGTTTCATTACTCTTCTTCTTCAACGTCAGCAGAGCCCCGACATCTTTTGGCTACTTACTGCTGGTAATGAACCAAACAGTGAACTGCTCGGCTAGTTGTGACCATCCATCTATCGATTCCCTTGACAAACTGTTGAACCATTTCATGGGCGACTGCCCAAGACTGCTAGGGCAGATAGTGCAAAGTAGTGGTTCATTTCTTCGGCAGCTGGTCATAAACTGCCTGTAATGTTTGATGTGTTAGGCTGACTTGTTTTTCTGTCATAGAGTTTGAAATTTGGGATGGTGAACTTGCTTGGACTTGCCCCTTTTCGATCCATGGTGAACTTGCTTGGGACTCGCCCCTTTTCCCCTATTGCTCTCCTGGCTAGGTCCTAGCCGATCTTTGTTCTGGCCTTTTCAGGCGGTTATTGAGTTCTTCGGTGATATACTGCCTCCAAGAGTCTTCTTCCAAAATCTGAGGTCTTTTCTGCTGATACTTATCGGCATTAGGATTCTTGGTTCTGTCTCTCTTCTTTTCGGGACTTTCTAGTCGGTTGTTCCTTTCACGCTTCTCTTTTCCGGTCAACTCCTTTAGTCTGGCTTTCAACTCCTCATTCTCCTTTATTAGGTTCCTTTCCCTGGCATAAGATTTCTTGAACAACTTATTATGAGCATCAAGCCGGTCTTGTACAGATTGAACCAACTTCGCCAAGGAATGGTTTTCCCCCTCGGCACGGAGGGTTTCACCATGATCTTGTCCATGATGGTTCTGATTCGTAGTTCGTTTGTGACTTGCTGAGGATACCTCGTCATCCTCATGGGGCCCAAATGGGCTTTTGTTAATATGCAACCTAACATTGCTATCAGAAGGAAGTGATATAGGATCAGAATTTTCCATGACAAAAATGCCTACAAGGGATCCAATGACAGTTCTGAGTTTTGACATCGTTGCCTTTCGTTGCGATTGATGAATATTTCCCATAGATGGCACCAAAATGTAAGAGACAAAAAATTAACGATACCTCTCACAAGGGATTTGATGTGTTCCTTTTGGTAAGAAATGTCTCTAAACTTGATATCTCAATCTTCTCTCTGCAAAACGAACAAACTGCCTAAGATCGAGATACTTCGATCGAAGACACTCTGATACTTAAGTCAGTAATAGTTTTAAAGCAATCGCTAGAAGAAAATGAGAGTTCAGCGTACTTTTTACCTTAGTTTCTTCTGCGTTTTATAGATAGTTATCCCCTAAGGGTTTCTGTGATTTATGATTCAAGATGACACATCTTCCTTTAATTCAGTGATTCAGTTTGGAAAGTTGCTAATATTTCTCCAACAATTCCTCCTGTCATCTGCAATTTAGTTGATTCGTTCATTCAAAATGCCTAAGTTAAAGGCTTATCTTTATCCTTCTATCTACTGTTCCAAATAGCTCGGTCTTAACGAGAGCCGAGCACTTTGATTTGTTTGGTTTGGTACAAGCCGAGCTCTTTCATCTCTTCGCCGAACCATATTGGTTAGTTTGGTCAGGACCATTTGGCTAATAAGCTGATATCTCCGTCACGTGTCCTATCTTGTCAACCTTACGTGGGCTCATTTAATGTCATAACACTTGTAATAATGGGGGTCAGCCCCTTCAAAATCAATAGTTAAATAAATCTGCAATTCAATTGGTCTATAGTAATTGAAAATTGGATTAAAAAGTTTTTAAAAACTTCTTTATAATTCTAACAGAGGGTTCTTCATCATGGTCTATTCCTTCTAATGGTTTTTTCGAAGTTAATTTTGATGGAGATCTTTTTCCGTCCAATATGCTGCGAGGGTTGGTGTTATCATCTGTGATTGAAACGGACGTTTTGTGGCTGGTTTGAGCAGATGTGCTAATAGAATCTTCAAGGCGGAACACAAAAGTTTGGGCAGCCTTTGTTGTAGTTAAACTGACGTTGGATTCGGGTTTCCACAATGTAGTTCTCAAAGGCAATTCAAAGTCTGGAATCAACCTTATTTGCGGTAGGCAATAAATCCCAAGAAAGATTGGGCATTTTATGGATAGGATTCATGTTTTAGTTGACAATTTCAATTGTTTTAATTGTTCCTGGGTTAGTAGAGCTGGTAATAGGTTGGCTTACACATTATCTAGATATTCGGCAAATGTAAGATTGTATTGTATAGGGAGGAGTAACTGCTGTCTTTTTGAATGCTCCTCTTCAGCATGCTTTACATCTTTAATGTTATGTAGTTGATCGTTTCTTATCCAAAAAAAAAAAACATAACTGCATCAAATTAATACAAAATTATATCAAATTAACATCAAATTGACCTTTAATTTTATCTAATCAATATTTAATTTTATCAGATTAATATTTAATTTTATCAAATTAACATCAAATTAGCACTAAATTAACCTTAAATTTTGTCAAACAAACATTAAATTTTGTAAAATTAAAATTCACATTAATAAAATTAGAATTTAATTCATCTAATTAACATTTAATTTTATTAAAATAATACCAAATTAATATTCAATTTCATAACAGTAACACCAAATTAATATTCAATTTTATTGAAGTCACATTAAACTTTATTAAATTACTAAAAAATTAATATTCTATTTAATCAAATTAACTATCAATTTAATATCCAATTTTATCAAATCTTCGTTAAATTTCACAAATTAATTCCAAATTTCACAAAATTAACTTGAAATTGATCTTAAATTTTATAAAATTACCATTTTATTGCAGCAAATTAACATTCAATCTCATCAAATTAACATCAAATTAATCTTTACTTATATCATATTTACATTTGACTTCATCAATTTAGCATTCAATATATCAAATTAGAATCATTTTTTTAAATGTAATCATGAATTAGCCTTCAATTTCATCAATCAATACTAAATTGATATTCAATTTTATAGAATTAACATTCAATTTCTTGAATTGAACATTTAATTTTACTAAATTAATATTATTTCTTCAATTTAACATCAAATTAACTTTCAGTTGTACCAAATTAACATCAATATCCAATTAACTTTCAATTTTATGAACTTAACATTTAGTTTTATTAAATTAATATTATTTTTTAAAATTAACATCAAATTAACATTCAATTTTATCCAATTAACATCTTATGTAATCAAATTGATATGGGATGTTGCCCACAATAAAGTTTGTCTTGCTTGTTCTATATGGTCGGCGGTATATTTGGTAACTCACAAGAAAGTAAGGCAACACATCACAAGCTTTTGTGCTTGTAACTAACGGCATTGACGATAGGAGTAGTTTGTGAAACTCGTATATAAACTTAGGTGGTGTGTAGTGATATTTTAGAAAAATTAGAGGGGATGTGAGTGAAATAGACCTCAATCCAAGCGGTGTCTGTTAAATTTACTCGAGATTAAATTAACTTCAGTTGTCAAAATGTGCCTCAATTTTCTTAAAGCTGCCAAAGCATACCCAATTTTTTTTTGCAAAGAAGGATATAGCTAGTGAGTTTTTAAGATATCTGAAGGCTTATTTGACTTTCTCTTATTTTAATAGCGAAGATTATTGCCCTAATTCTTTAGGACCTCAGTAATTATCTGTGTTTTATTTTTATCACTTTCTATTACCTGGTAAATGAAACATACGGTATAGAGCCCCCAAAAAAAAAAAAAAAAAAAAAATATTAATAACACGCACACGCTACCCTAGCATATGATGTCAGCCTTAGAGTAGTACTGGAGATTGATTGATAAAAAAATGTAGAATGTTTAGCGTCCTTCATATTGTGGTTAAAATCTTTATCGTCTAGGAAGAGAAAAAAATATAAAGTATCAAATGAATCAATGTAAAGAAGAATAAAACATATTTTTACTGGATAACAAAATCATGGCAGATGGAAAAAATACTTTTAACATATTCAAAACCATTAATACTATGCTGACCAAGTTTTGCGACCAAATTTAGAGCTAAATGACAGAGTAGTATATTATCTGTAGTCTTTGTTGGAGTCCAAATGACATGATACAAAATAAAAAGCTCAAGTTAATTGTCATGTCATTTGATCTTCAAATTTAATCTCATAATTTGGTCAGTGTAGCATTAATGATTCAAAACATTTGAAACGAAGAAACAGTAACCAATAATTATGCAAATCCACACACAACAAAAAGTTCCTTATACATCGTGCCAAATTGATCAGATATTGAACTTATTTAGAAAATATGCTACTCCAATCATCATGCCAAACAGTCTGTTCACCACTAGTTTAAAGGAATCGGTTCGACCAATAAGGAAATCAGACGATCTTTAGTCCAAGGTACTGGCACACCATGACCATCTCCATGTTGGTAAAAGCATTGAGCTGTACGGCCTAGATTTGCATTGGCACTTATAAATGGTTCAGAAAAAGGATAGCTTTTGAGCATTTCCCCATTCAAAGCCTTCCATGTTTCATGGACTAAACTGTTTATGTATTCACGAGCAACTTCTTCGGATGCACCAGTGTCATTCATATAACATTGGATTGCCTTGGGGTTGTCTCCTCTGGCCAACTCATCCTACATATATCCCAAGTGTTAATGCAATTCTGATAAATTAACATAATTATCAACTATATGTACAAATTTATTATCATGGTTGCGATTTTAATAGAATTTTGTTAAACATACAGACGACGTTCCCAAATCGTCGGTGAGTCGGAGAAGCATTGAACTGCATCGCATGATACTCGGAAGCTTGTCTATGTCGTCCAATACTTCCTTGGTAATTTTATCTGTGGTTAAGAAGTAACTGCAGATTAACATGAGTGGTGCAGCAATGGAAACCACTGCATTGTCAAGATACTCTTCCAAGGTTGGCCTATATCCGCTATGATACCACCTTGCTTCCTTAAAGTATGCTTTACAGAGATCTGCCCACTACAAAAATAGAAACGCTTTGTAGTAACACTAATATTATTGGGATATAATTTAAGAACATAATTTGGGGATATAATGAGTTGTCACCAATGAAATGATAGTGAAATGTATTTACTGATGGGTCTCATTATAACATTAAATGAATTCATTATCATATCATTGATGACAACTCATTATGTCACAATAGTATTGTTCTTGCAGTAAATATCCTTGCTACAAAGTAAAACAATGCAAATTACACCGATGAAATCCTGACATTTTTATTATTAGGGCTAGAACCACGAACTAAGACCTATCCATACAAAATGATTTGCGCTATTCAACTCTCTCAAACTCTAGCCATAAAATATATTTTTCTTGTAATAAGGTCTTTTGGTTTGGGCTGAGTACTTACAGGAAATCTGTATGGGCCGTAGTTCTGTTCAAGTCTAATCATACAAAATCCTATAGGCTGCACAACTTATTTTTCAGAAAAGATAGCTGAGGAGTTGGACTAGTGTGCTTTCTCAGTCAAAATTTATGGCATGTGGTTAGTGTTCCATTCCTTTCTTAATTCCTATATTATCGACGTTTGGTTTTTCATGTGGAAATCTACTTGCCACATTTTCGAGTAGTCATTACAAAAGACGAAATAAATAAGGTTAAGATAATCCAATTATGAGGCTCTACCGCTTTGCTTAGGTACGGGATGATGTTGAAGTCTCGCTCTTTTAGTGTCCAATACCCAATCTCATTGCTAGTATTGTACATGGCAAGAAGACATGTCTTTATGTTCCGAGGAAGCTTGTCAATTTCATTAATATCCCATCTGAAGGTTTCAGAGAAAAAAAATTACTGAACTAATTAGCAAAAAGAAGAAAAATGAAAATAAACAATTGATCAATAGTTATTAAAGATTCTATGTATGTAAATTTAATAAAAAAGTATAAATCTCCATATAAACCTGTCAACAAAATCGGTAAAAAGTTCAATTTCTTCCAGTGAGCCATAGAGATCATATACATCATCTATAGTAGTAATCAAACATATTATCTTCGTTGCCATCTGTCGAAAGGGTCCATACTGTGATTCAAATACAATACCATTGCACCAAAAGTAGTGTTCTACAAGCCTGTCTCTGGCAAAGCTGATTTTGTTTAAGCCCATATCCACCCACCAGCTGAGAATTTAAGAATTTATAGTCAATTAGTTAAAATTGTATGAAAAGTATTTTAAAAAAGATTCATGGAAATGGAATGCAAATGAAAAGTAATTTCTTCTAATCAACAACCATGGTCCTTTGTAATCTATAATTATTGCGAAACAAATGTATTTTTTTGAATACAAAACTAGGCTTATACCTTGCTAACTTGCTAACCTCTTTCTGATGAACGGCTTGCACTATGTTGTACTCTAACTTAGCCAATTGTAACAAAGTAGGGTTCATGTTTTGATCTTGCTCATAGGTATCGATGAACCATCTAGCTTCCACTCTTGCCATTCTCCAATGCAAAGGCATATTCAAAGCTTGACCTACTTTTCTGGCCAAGCTTGGTGGTATATCTCCGATGATAGCTTTCAAATGTGTCGTCGTAAAAACCTTGGCTTGATCAATAATATTTTCAGCTTCCAGACCAAAGAAAGAAGCTTCATACAAATTCAACAGCCCCTCGACATCTTCAAAAAGGCTTGTCTTGAAATTACCTGTCTCGTCCCGAAATCTTTCAAACACACCTGCTCCCCACAAAAATTATAGAAACATAAATTATTAACCCAACTTATTTCTTTTGTATAGCTAACATTGATGCCATAAATCATGATGATTTCAGGCTGGATCTTTGTACTTCGCAATTGTAATCACTCATGGAACATTTTTTTATAATTTGGTATAATTGTAAAAGTAATACTTCCTACTTAACAAAATCAGAGGCATAAGAAGTTCTTTCTAGGAATCGAAAGGGTCCATCAATCGCTGATGAAATTTGTATGATTTCATTGCATGGTAGCACTTCATCAACTTTATAGTAATTTGATTTGTCAAAAGTTTCAGACACCTCTTGCTAAAAAATGCTTAAAAATAGGACACTATGATCCTCTCATCCTCCATACTACACATTGCAGCGAATCCACTCAATCTTCATTGCATTCTTATTTTACAATCTCATCGAAATAACCCATAGAGCTAGATTATGCATCAAAGGTTTTGTGTTTCACTGTTTTATGCAACTTCTGTATTTTTATGATATTGGATGGACTAATCTTATGCATTCAAAGATTGATCAAAAGTGCCCAAAAATTCATAGGTGCAGTGGTGTAGATGCGGAAAAAATATAAAAAATAAGACATACATAAAAAAACAAAAAGGCTTGCTTCAACGGATCTAATTTACCTGATTGAGACGAATAGAGTTAAATTTGTGAAGATAATAAGTACTAATTTTTATGTCATTATCTTTTTTGTTATATCGAGTAATATAAGTTAATAAACTGTCAAATAACGTTTACCTTGGGGTACATTATAACCATGTTGCCTAAGGAGCCTAAACCGGAGGGCTATTGCATATAGATCATCACTTAACCATGAAATATTACTCTCTTTGTAGACAATACGCAGTGCATTTTTTATCTCGGTCTCAAATAGATACTTTAATCCCAGTCTTTGAATAGCGTCGATCAACTCAAGCTTAGCCAATGGGTCCGTCACCTCATTAATAAGACACTTCACATTATCTTTCAGCTTATCAGCCTGCATCACATATTTCTCTTCCTACAGGTCAATAAAAGATACATATAAATAATAAACTTTGGTAAAACCAAATATTTTCGATAGAAGCTAAAATAAATAGTATACATTGTAATCGCTGGTAAGTGACTGAACAAAATCATAGTCCCAGACACTTTGGAGGTAATTTGCTGATCGTCTAGCAATCATATGATCATCGACAGTTATGGCATTTGCAACAGAACGAGTAGATTTAATGGTACAAATGGTAATAGAATTTTTTGATGAATGAAAAGGGGAGAGGAGGGTTGTAGAGACAAGGAAAGGCGAGGAGAGAACTTGAAGAGCCATTCCTCTTCTTTAGCTACTAGTAGTTCAAGTCTACACAATCGTCTATGACTTTATAATTTGGAAGAATACATCTATATATACTACCACTTGGTATAAACATGTTTCATGACATTGGATTCAATTACAAAAGTGTCCCTGATGGTTTCGGCAATTTACAAGAGCCAAGATGTGTATATTATAACTAGTCCAAAGCCAAGAATACCAAATATCTTATAAGATATTGGGGAAAAGGTATTACAGTTTTTAGCTAGCGCTACGTTAGGTATGATGTTGATAGAAAACTTTTTTTTTTTGCAAAGCCGCCTATTTTGCTCATGCTTAACATGATTATTGAAAGGATAAACTAGTATGCAATTGCATTGTTATCATTTTTTGCAAAGCCGCCTTTTACCTCTTGTTGTTTGGTCCAAAGTCCTTTTACTCCCCTGACATTTAAAATTATATTCATAACCCCTTGTAAATTTGAACCAAACTCGAAATGGTAGCTTTTCCATCCAAACTTGACAGTAGTACTAACTGGTTGCATTGTGATCATGATGGTGGTCTTTATTGTGCCCTGTTAGTTTTGTTTTTAATATGTATGAGTTGAAATGATAATGGGTATTCGAGAGTATGATTTCAGCAGCGGGTTAAGATTTGGAGACCCAGTTGAGATTTTCTTGGAATAATTCAAACAGTCACAGATATTTTGTGGATAATTTGGTCAAGACTTTTAAGAGCATGCGTTTCTATACCCAGTTCATGGGTTTGCAGCAAAAGAGCTTTGGAACCTACTTTTTCCAGGCCATATATTCCTGAAGCGCTTCTCATGCTTCTTGACACATTTTTTCATTCATGTTTCCTTGCTGATGGTTGGGGATCCAAACCCTGTAATGATCTTTCTTCAAGACATTGAAGATGTCACAGCTAGCTGATGCAACACCAATTGGAAAAGACTGCATACCTAGAGAATCAAATTTCAGGTTGCATTGATAATGAAGTTGTTATGTAATGTATTCAAATTTGTTGTGTGGATATGCCCTATATGTTGGCTTTTGTCCTTTGTGTAATCAATATATTTTTAGTTGTCAAACCACAAATATCAATGTATTATCTCATTTCTATCAATCAAAAGACAAAAATAGAAAATTGGTAGTTACAGCATCCACTCATAACCAAATTTCTTGCTCTGCCCATGTCTAACATCCAAGCCCAAAATTTTCATAAATAGCTCAATTCATTTGTGTAATGATTCGTGTGATTTGTATAATTATTGTCCATCACTATTTATCTATATATGAATCACGCCTTCAAAGATCCCCAAATTGTCAATAGTCTATTCAAAAAAAAAAAAAAAGGGACATCTAAACAAAATAGGCATTTAATATAACCACTATGGTTGCGTACCAAAATGAAAAACCAGACGTTGTTAAAGGAATCAGGAAAATGACAATTGTATCCCCATTCTTCTACCTTCTATTTTGGCTTGTCTTTTTCTCTTGTGCCCTCTTTCTCTCTCCTCTGGACCTAAATTGTCACATTTCATTAACATGTAACTACCAGTCTTGAAAAAACTCTCTATTGATTATTTGTATTCCGTTTTCCAACAAAAGCCCAAAAGTTATAGTTATAATTTTTTACAAAAAATTCTGCTGAAATTTTGTAGTTCACCTGCAAAACCCAAATCCCTTGTTTTTGCAACGATTTAAGATTCAAGTTTTTTTTTCGTGGATGAGCTCCCCACATTTGCTAGCTACCCGAATCCCACCATCAAGTTGTTTTGTTGTGGGTCTTGCTGGGGATGCGAGTGACACAGGAACTTCGAAAGGAGGATGAAGAAGATTATGGAGGAATAAAAAGCCTAAAGGGGTTTTTTTGACAATAAACACAATATTTTTGGAGGAAAAAAAACGGCGACAACATTGTTTGGGCCTGTGAGGCTCACTATTAGTCAATTTGGATGGTTAAAAGTAACCGTTTCAATAATTATTATACCCAAATATTAAACATCTGAGAATGACATGTGGCGAAATCCAAAGGCTTGGAGAAAATCAGAAAGAGTCTGAGTAAAATGAGACAGTGAACAAAAACGGACTTCATAGATCTCAAAAAATTGAAGAGGTGTGATTTCATGAGCCATCAGTTACAGATGGTTCGAAGCATGTCTAAGAACGTTTGCAAAAAGGCCATGATTGTAGTCATGAGTGAAAAAGATGTCTTCAGTGGTTAGAGGTCATCCCTATAAATACATAAAAAAGGCTATAAAAAAGGAATTTTCCTAGTTTATTTCTTGGAATTTTCTTTACATTGTAAGATCACCTCGGTAATCCTTTCTTTCAATTAATGCTAAGTTTAGTTGTTTACACAACACTCTTTGTTGTTTATCTCATTGTTCTTTTTAGTCTCGGTACCTATTTTTCAAATCCTAGCTCATTAAGTTGCTTCAGTGAAAATTATTTAACTCCTAGATCTTTAAGAAAAAGAAAATAGCTTAGAAGTAGTCTTACGCTTCGTTAAAATCACTTGAACAGATTTTAAAACCTTATGCCAGTTAGAATTGATAAGGTTGTAAGTGTTTGGATTTTAAGTCCGTCCGGACTTTGACACCCTCAAAATCCAAAAATCAGCCAAATAGGTACATAACTATAGTGGGTTATGTGCATAATTTGTCATGGAGGTAAGATGTTTTCAGCCATAACTAAAGGAGTAAAATGATAGTCCTATAGTTATGCACAAATTATGCACATAACCCAAGCATTTTATAGTCCTATGCCGAGCATTTATGACCCTATATCGAGCATTCAATTCGATGTTTACATGGGTTTTCATATCAGCAAGTATCACACCCCATCCCGAAAAACAGTTAGGGTGTGGGTAACCTCAACCTGTTAACCTTAAATCATAATTAATCTCAGAGTAATATAATTTTTTGCAATAATATCCAAATCCAACCATCATAATAGAAAACTTGGGAAACACATATAACATAGCACATCGTTAACATAGCACACCGTTACCACTACTTGGGCATCATACCATTTAAACATTTTTACAACACTCGTACATTATAACTCTTAACATAAAGTGCAACTTGACATCAATACCTCTACATCAAGCTAGATTGTTCAGTGAATCACTTCCTTAATCCGTGTACTTGAAAACAAACTACTGGGGGGAGGGGCGGGGGAAGGTGAGCAAACCATATGATTAGTGAGTATATTCGAAACATATAGAAAGAAAACACATAAGCACATTACAATTATACATGTAACTCACAAACACATTTAAAGAGTAATTTAACATACAATAACCAACTTCCAAAACCCAACACCCATTATCCAAAATCCCATATCCAATATTCGACTATCCAATAATACCTGGAAGTCTCGGCAATCTCATCCCAACCTGTATTTGCCCGGGAGTCTCGACTATTATATCGCTACCTGTATATGCCCCGAGAGTCTCGGCTATTGTATCACTACCTATATATGCCCAGGAGTCTCAGATATTACATCGCTACTTGTATATGTCCGGGAGTCTCAGCCTTTATATCGTTACCCGTACATGCCTAGGAATCTCGGCTATTATATCTCTACCATTTAGCCCTAGTAATCTTGGCAATCACATATTGGTAAGCACTCACAATCAACTCAAGTATTTGAAACCACACACAACACCAATCCACAATCCTTAAGTCATTGATTCACAATCTAGCAATTTATAAATAAACTGGCAATGCAAATTAAAATATTTGATAAAGTACATAAAAATTATAACTAAATTAGTTATTATCTCACTTTTATCATACTTAAATCGTTTATATTGTGGATGAAGAGAAAAATATACATATATTGGTTTTTTGACGTCGGAGATGATATTATATAAATGAAGTTGTTGATGCGTATTAATATTGGGGTTTTGAAAAAAATAATAATGTTTTTATATATCCTGTTAAGAGTAACATGACCATCTAGAAGTTTTGTAAAGATTGAGATTTACAAGATATGCTAGATGTTAGTTTGTTATTTAAGTATAGAGCGATACAATGATAATCTGCATATTTAAATACAAGACATGTTAGCTTATAGTTTTTTATAATGATAAAACAATGAATCAAAAGTTTTTCATACAAGGTATTTTTATTAGTAGTATAGATATAGCTAGTAACAAACAATCACCATTTCATAGTCCATAACTTACAAAATAATCTTCAAGCTATTTCACATGAGTATAGCCAATAAAAACATAATCACATTTTCAATCAATATGAATCAATACCCTCACCTCGAGTTAAATCCAAACCTGAATTCAATCTCCCTGTGTAATTTCATGTGAATTTGCCAATGATGTTATTGCCTCAATACCTAACATACATTGTCACAAGTCATATAAATATCATTCTCAACACACAATTATTATGGTACGCATGCATAAATGATTAATTGAGCTTAATCCGATACCTTCCCAATACCCCCTTCCATTTATTATAATGTACCCAAACCCTTAGGTTTAGTGATTTGTTTGTAGGAAGATAAAATCATAAAATTGATTTAAACTCATTAACATGTTCAAAGAATGTTTGAGGTTAACTGGACAACGAATTATAGGCGTTGTAGCAAGACGGTGAGAATTTCATGTTTCTACTGTAGAACACGTCAAAGAATGTCGTTTTACCAGTAGGACACCATCTCCTACAGGTAGAAGTCTAATAGAATGTTGTTTTATTGGTAGGACACCATCTCCTACTAGTAGAAGTCTGTCTGGCAGAAAAATTTCTTCGTTCTATCTTCTTTCTCAACCTATTTCTCTCAACTTAACACCCACAAACCCTTACACATCCATTATAAACATTATTTACATACAAATTCTTACCCAATAATCAAATTCCGAGAGCCAAAAACGAAATCAAAACCTCTCCCCCACAAAACCAAAATTACAACCCTTATATCAAACTCTTCCCAATAACCACAATAAATCACAAAACATAAATTAAAATAAAAGGATTTACCTAACGGAAGGGA